GGTGATGGTGGACAGATGAATCCTGCAGTGGTGATGGTGGACAGATGCTGGATGTAGTTTAAGAGGCAGAAAGTGGGACCCAGGAGTCTATAAGGAACAACAGAGCTCAGAAGATGTTTGAAGCACTGATAAGCAGAGAGAATTACAGGAACTGCTCGCGCAGCTCTTTGTAATGTGCCTGTAGCTGTGAGGACAACAGAACACCTCGTAAAAACATCCAGACTCATAGTTGTGTCTAATAAAACTAGTGTATCATTTCTGTCTGCTATTGAATGTGGCACATTTTACAGTCAGTGTCTTTATAAGTCTTATCTTATCTTATCTTGGATATTAGTTGGACTCCTGGCAAGGACCAATGCAGACTTGTTCCTGTTTTTAGTTTTCTACATTTGCCTTATAATCTAGCTGTTTTTGCTACTTTTATTTGCCATCACATTTTAATTTGTTTAAAAAAAAATCTGTATGCCTTTTTTATAATTGTCTATTGTTGTCACTGTTGTCATCATTCTATGTTGAAGTCAGGTCTCTCTTGTAAATGAGTCTCGAGGCTCAAAAGGTTCAATGAAAAAAAAGTCTAAATATTGTATCATGTATTTTCAGCCTGTTTAAAAGTGTAACATAACATTTAATTAAAAGTGTTCATTGTAAAGTATGAACTCAGACATGACAACGTTCATCCTGAACTACAGTAATTGGTGCAGTTTGAAAGAGTTTACTTACAGTAGTTGTTTTCTAAGTATATTAGTATTTTTTTTCTTAGTTTTCTAAGTATATTAGTATTTTTTTCTTAGTTTTCTAAGTATATTAATATTTTTTTCTTAGTTTTCTAAGTATATTAGTATTTTTTTCTTAGTTTTCTTATTAGTATTTTTTTTCTTAGTTTTCTAAGTATATTAGTATTTTTTTCTTAGTTTTCTAAGTATATTAGTATTTTTTTCTTAGTTTTCTAAGCATATTAGTATTTTTTTCTTAGTTTTCTTATTAGTATTTTTTTTCTTAGTTTTCTAAGTATATTAGTATTTTTTTCTTAGTTTTCTAAGTATATTAGTATTTTTTTTCTTAGTTTTCTAAGCATATTAGTATTTTTTTCTTAGTTTTCTTATTAGTAATTTTTTTCTTAGTTTTCTAAGTATATTAGTTTTTTTCTTAGTTCTCTAAGTATATTAGTATTTTTTTTCTTAGTTTTCTAAGTATATTAGTATTTTTTCTTAGTTCTCTAAGTATATTAGTATTTTTTTTCTTAGTTTTCTAAGTATATTAGTATTTTTTTCTTAGTTTTCTAAGTATATTAGTATTTTTTTCTTAGTTTTCTAAGCATATTGGTATTTTTTTCTTAGTTTTCTTATTAGTAATTTTTTTCTTAGTTCTCTAAGTATATTAGTATTTTTTTCTTAGTTTTCTAAGTATATTAGTATTTTTTTTCTTAGTTTTCTAAGTATATTAGTATTTTTTCTTAGTTATCTAGTATTTTTTTTCTTAGTTTTCTAAGTATATTAGTATATTTTTCTTAGTTATCTAGTATTTTTTTCTTAGTTTTCTAAGTATATTAGTTTTTTCTTAGTTTTCTAAGTATATTAGTATTTTTTCTTAGTTATCTAGTATTTTTTTTCTTAGTTTTCTAAGTATATTAGTATATTTTTCTTAGTTATCTAGTATTTTTTTCTTAGTTTTCTAAGTATATTAGTATTTTTTTTCTTAGTTTTCTAAGTATATTAGTATTTTTTCTTAGTTATCTAGTATTTTTTTTCTTAGTTTTCTAATTATATTAGTATTTTTTTCTTAGATTTCTAAGTATATTAGTGTTATTTTGAAATGAGGGTCCACATTCAATGAAAACAAAGAATCCTTCTAGAAACCTGCATCACTCACCCACATACTGTATAGCAGTCCATAGTCGTGTGCGTGAACAAAAATGTTAGACTTGGCCAGGTGTATAATCTCAGAGATGTTTTGGAGGAGATGTAAGTGAACCTGCTGCTGAACGCTAAAGAAAAGAAAAAGGCTGAGTAAGACAGCTGTGCAGAATAAATACAAGCTGAGCAGAGGAGGCCCATAAAGACAGAGCTTCAACATGGCTGAAGCTTCTCCTGCTGTAAGTTTCATCTATTTTCAGTCACTTCGGTTGTATCCGTAGGTAAACAAACATGTGATAGCTGGTTTCTGGTCAAAAAAATTGCTTAGAATTTTTTTGATTTAACGCCACATTTATCATTAATATAATCCTTTGTTGTTTTTGTTTGGTCATCATATCTTTGGGTTCAGGTTGGTATCATCATTAATTCAACCCAGTTTATT